TGGGTGTAGCGTGGGAAACCCCGAGTGAAAACAAGGAGCAGGCTAAACGGATAATGGGGAGTAGGGCGCGAGATCTCAAAGCGGAAAGGGAGTGAGAGATGGAAGGAAAAGGGGTGAAAGAAGGAACTGAGATGTGTTGTACACCAACTCCACACAGGACCTTGGGCGTTATGTGCTGTACATGTGAACGGACAAACTACAATCATGAAACATAAAGTCAACTTGAAACATCAGTAATGACATTTTGTGAAGGTGTTCACAGTCAAGGCATGCCAGGGTCCTCAGGTTGCGTGGAAAATAAAGATAACTGTACACATTACATTAGATGTACAAGAGAAAAACTGTAGAAAAACTTCCAAAAGAGATTTTATTTTTACGTAATTCATCTAAAAATACTCCTAAGCATTCAGGGAAAAAAATGAAATGTGACGTAAGAGGAACTACATAAGCCCAAAAGAATACAAAAGAAATTGGTTGTGGGAAAGAAACAGAAAAATCAAAAATAATGAAAGCACAAAATAAAATGATAGAAAACTATTTGTAATAGCATCAATGTAAATGGAATAAAGTCCTCAGGTCAAAGAGAAATATTTTACAAAATTAAAAATCCACGCTATCCTAGTGACAGCAGGTTGACAAGAGTCAACATCAGAGCCTCACACACCCCCAAAAATGCTGTTGTCAGGTCAATGGTAATAGAAACAAATGCTAGTATTTCTGTATTAATACAGAAAAATACATTTGAGCTGAAAAATTATATTGTCCACACTCAGAAATACCCTGACCCTCAAAACCTAAAAATCTAAGACCAGCAGCCAGAGACTGCTTTAAACACTTGTAAATATCAACAGGAAATATGTCATCTAGAAGAATGAGGGGAAGATCTTTCAAATACTCGAATGGGCTTTGAACGCACTTCACTCAAATCAGCAGTCAGGAAAGAATGACCATATTTACCACTGCCATGCACCATGCACCATAGCACCAAAAGACCTAAGCAAAATAAAGTGAGAAATAAAAGGCACCTAACTGGAAATAAAGACATGAAAGTGTTTATTAACAAATGACATGTTTGTGTGTTTATGCCCACAAAAATCCCAAATATGTAAGAAAGTTACTTAAAGTGAGAAGCTAAGCATGTTACGAGTGACAAATTCATAAATCACTGTGTTTCCATACAGCAGTCAGTGAACAACCGAAGAGGAAATTAGCAGTTTCACTTTACAATAGCATTCACAAGAAAAACATACTCTGAAATAAACCTAAGGTGGGGAAACAGTTGTGCACTGCCTAGTACAGAACATTGTTGAAAGAAATTAAAGTGAATTTAAATTAATAGATAAATAGCATTCATGGAATTTAAATAAATAGATAAATAGCATTCATGGAATCAAAAACAATATTGTGGGGGCCGAGGAGAAGGCTCAGTAGAACAAGCACTTTCCTGGCAACAGCACAAGGGCCTAAATTCAATTTCTAGTTCCGCCAAAAAAAAAAGCCAACCCAATATTGTTGAGATGGCACTATAAGCTCAAGCTATCTATAAATGAACAGAATCTCTATGAAAAACCCAATAGCCTTTTTTTTTGGTAGAAATTTAAAAACTGATCCTAAAATTAAATGGAATAAGAGGACTGGCATAAACAAAATGTTTCTGAAAAGTAGCAAAGTTGGAATACTCATCCTTCACAATTCAGCTTTACTAATGTGCAATAGTCAAATAATGTGGTACTGATACAATGATGGATATCAAGGCCAATAAAACAACTGGAAATGTTTTAGCCTATACATCTATGGCTAAATGACCTTTTATAAGGATGCTAAGTGTATTCAATGGGAACAGAATAGTCTCATAAATAGTATTTGATAGATTTTTCACATGCAAAAGAATGAAGTTGAACTCCTACCTCAAATTATACACGAAAGTGACGTCAAATAGGTAAACAAACATAAGAACTCAAATTGCAAGTTTGTATACAAACATGGAGGAAAGTCGTAATTTTGAATTTGGCAATAGATTATTAGATATAACAACAAAAGCATGAGCAATCACAACAGAAAATAAC